GTTCTATTATATAGCTCTGATATCATTCATCGAGCACTTTTGCTGAATATATGCTTACAGCAAAATTAAACTTATATATATATATATATATATATATATATATATATATATATATATATATATATATATATATATATATATATATATATGTATATATATATATATATATATATATATATATATATATATATATATATATATATATATACATTAGGGTGACACAAAGTAGGGTCGAAAAATAAAATTTTTCAAAAATCAATAACCGCAGTTGCTTATCCTGTTCTACAACATTCAGTTAGTCTAAAAACAAAATATCACTTGTTTTTATTCGTTGGAAGTGCTACATGTAATTTTTTAAATATTGAGGATTGGCTGAACTTTATGCCATTTTTTACGGGTTAAAATATGTTTATATCTAAACTTTTATTTGATCTTACAAGAAAAAAAATACTGTTTATAGTTTCATACAGTTAGCTATTATTTTACAATACTTTTTCAACTCTAGGTTTTAGCTTTACCAGTTCCTTAAGCGACATATCTTTTGTTATAAGCTTTCTGTGCTCTCTGACTACCAAAAGAATGTTCTGTCTCTGATCCTCATTGTGGGAACTGTGAACAAAGTTTTCAATTAAACTAATATTTCTTTCTGCGCAATCGTTGGTCACACTAAGATTGCAAACTAACTGAGCAAAATTTTTGTATGAATCTAGCGCTAAGAAATCACTTGAAGTATGCCACTCTCGAACAGATTCGGTGTGACCTGTAAGTATAAAAAATAGCCAACTCTCCTTCGTAATTAAATCCTCTAATCGACTATCACTGGTAACGTTAACAGCAGAAGGAGCTGTAACAGAAATCTCTGATAACTCAGGAATTGGAAATTTTAAAAGTTTCTGAATGATTAAACGCTTAGCATCTGCTTTCATATAAGGATCACCTAACGATAGTACGACAACTTTAGGAGACAAATACTATGTGTGGTTACTCATGCTTTTTTGAAGTGAGTTTCCAACTTCATAATTCCATTCTGTTTTAATTGTTTCAGCAATTTTGAATGCATTAAAATCATTCAGAACAGCATGCTCTGCTTTGCCTGAGTTAAGAAAGGCAGGTCCATAATAAATAGCAACAATAAATGCTACCCTTGAGACCATATGTTTTTTTTCAGGAGTCAGATATTCAACGACTGTGGATGTCATATCGAGCATCAGAAAATATATTGCATAGGCCATAAACCTTGCATTGTGACAGGCACCAGGCTGAGAGATGTGAAAATTATTTAATTTCTCAGACTTAACATTCATGTAATACGCCAGTATTACATGAATGTAACTGTATTTAACAAGATGCCTGTAATCATTCCTAAAATATTCCTAATTTTATTTAATAACTTTAAAAAAAAAAGTATATTTATGAAAAAACTAATTCATTTTATATTATTTTTACATACCTGGGGAAGATTTCATGTTCTAGTGCTTTAGTAACAAACTTTTTAGACTTCAAATAGAGTTTGCAGAGATCACTGCCAACAATAAGGTCTTGCTCAGGAAATCGTTTGAACTTTTCTACAGCACCACTAGCTGAAACTTTAGGAAAAAATTCTGTTATCCATTTCTACTGAAAATCATTTCCATTGAAATTGCCTTTAAAGCCCAAGTAATATTTATTTCGGCAATATGGTGTCTACACAATAACCAAAGAAATGGTTTACCAAGAAATCTTGCCATAATAGTTATTGCACCAGATTTCCATCCAGTGTTACTTACTGTGGTGTCAGAACAGAATCCTACAATATAGTCACATATTTCAAAATATTCTAGGAGATTCATAATACTTATAGCCATATCGATTCCCTTACCACTATCAGTTGGCACAACACCGAGTAAAAGATCATCTTTGGTTTCAAACTCTGGGCTAGTAACAGATACTGATAGTCTATCTGCAGTAGTTGCCTGTCTAATGTCCTCCTCAATATGCTTTAAAATTTTACCATCAAAATGTAAAACTAACATCTTGTTAGCCATTAAATTAATATATTCATTACGTATCTGGTCTCCTTCCTCTTCTAAAAATCTGTAACGTCGCCTTCTGACAGATTCTCTGCTTAACTTTAGCTGTTTAACATCTCCTCCTAAATAGTTTACTACGCTTGCAATAAGAAGGGTTTGATCTCGAATGCTGAGACCAGCCCTTATACTGGTGGAAGTTGTTGCTGCAATGAGACCTTCACTGGTTATCTCCTTTTCTACTCTGAAATATGATGGTCTAAACTGATGCCTACTTTTTGAGCTTGCTTCGTGAAAATTAACATTTTTATTTGGGACAAAATCTTCCGACTTAGCAATTACACTTCCAGCATCTAAATTAATATAAAGATTCTTAGCTTAGCTATACATTTACTTCAAAAAATTACTAGTTTTGCCTAAAATGTCCGTGCATTATTAGAAAAAATTGTTTATATTCTCTCTTTTTATTTAGTCATAAGTTGAAACAAATATTTTTATGTGTTTAACAAATTATACTTAAATATTACCTAATTGTGATTCAGCTCTTGTTTTTTTAGGTTCTGTAGGTTCCTCACTTGCGAAATTGAAATTTATATCATTGTTAGGAAAAAAGTTGTGATTCCATTGCCTTTTTTCCCCAATTTTTTCTTTGTTGTCACGAATTATCGAATCGTTGCTCTTCTGTACTCGATCTTTATATTCTTCTTTCCTCTTGCATCTATCAATCTTTCTCTGAAACCTTGCTTCAAGCTCTGTGTCAATTTTAGAAGATATGATCATATTTCTGTTAGTTCTGTGCAAAAAGTTGTTAAAACACTTAGCGTAAGATAAATTTGAATAAAAAAATAAAATTTCTCAAAAAAATGATTTTTTTATATAAGGGAGAAATTAGTAGATATATCATAATTGAAAAATAGGTTAAATCTTCGCAAAACAATTTGAGCAAAAAATACCTTTGATCATCTAAGAAGGCCAAATCCTCTTGTAAAGCAGAAGTATCACGAGGCATTGATTCATCGCGTCTCAACTTCATCTCAAAGTCCTTCGCACTGATGTCAAACAATTGCTCTACCATATTGTAAAATCATTTTTGTGGCGTTCGGAAATTGCTTTTTAATTTGAAAGGTTTTACTGTTGCACAAAGTTTTGTATTTGCTGTATAGAGATTTAAACTTTTCCACTATACTTCTCTCAGAAATTAAGTAATTACTGAAACCAGCAGACTTCCAAATATTTACAATTTGTCGGAGTAAACAGTATTTTTCGGTATTTGAATTACAAAACTCGTCTTTCCCTTTACATATAACATCCTCTCGTGCTCGAGAACATGAAAAGTTTATTTTAATAGGTTTGAATCGCTTATCTCTAGCTGAAGTTAGGAACAAGTAATATCGAAGAACACTTCTATTTGATGGAAGTTGGTTTGTAGGTAGATAGCTTAAAGGCGAGTTAAGCAGGTAAACAGACCTCCGAGCATTATAGCTAATTTCTTTTGTTTTCCTCTTTTTGATTTTCAACATTTTGTACGGATATGTAAACAGTAAAAAAAAATCGAAGTTTAAAGTAAGATAATTAATAAATCAAAAGTTGCTAAGTGATTCAACGCAATCCACTAAGTTTATAGTGCAATTAAAGTTTTTAAAAAATAGTTGTGAATGACCACTAATGTTTTAAAAACATTTTGAGTTTTTGACACGTTTTAAAAACTTGCTGAATGATGTGAAAATAATAAAATAATGTGAAGAAAAAAAAAAGGCTTGGAACGTAAAATTTTTAAATTTACATGTAGCTCTTCCTGATCACTTAGGAATCTAAAATTTTTTTTGTAGATTTCCGAAGTTTAGTAGAACAGGAAAATGTACTGCGGCTTTTTTTTTAATTTTGTGTCACCCTAATATACATATATATATATATTTTTTATCTTTTGAAAATGTAGTATGTTAAGGGATCGTCCATAAATTCCGTAACGCAAAGTTTCACAAAAAATAAAACAAAAAAAGATCAAAAGTTTTCTCTCGCAGAGTCTTAATTTAAATGAACAATCAAAATAAGAAATTAAGTTAAATAAAAATTGCCGCGTAAAAGAGCCTACTCCTGTTCCTAAAATATTTTTTGCGTTGCGTAATTTATGGACGATCCCTAATTACGAAACATTTCAAGATTAAAAAATATCGTGTTTTTCTTTAAAATATGTTCACATTTATTGCTATTACGTTGCTCATGTTAAAAAGAGTGCCGGGTGCGTTTCTGAGAAGTCGTTTCAACAACAGTCGTTTTAACAACAGTAGGCAAATAAGAAAGGGAAAGAAATCAAGGGAATTAAGGAATTTTCATGAGTAAAAATATGATTATTTTATAACATAACAAAATAGTCATACTTTTTTTAGTGAAACTTTCTAATATATTTCTTTCTAGAATAGAAAAAAATAGAAAAAAAAGGCTTGAGAAATAAATCATGTAAAAAAACAACCAAAACGCGTCTGTACTCGCTGCCTTGAACAACCTATTCTTTAGTACGCATTGGCTAATTCCTTTGCCTTAGCTGCATACAAACTTAATGAATGCCCTTTAAATTAGTGTTTTGCAAGATATTAGTTTAAAAAATTAAATGATTCTTCTTAGTGAAGTACATTATACAGCTGTACAAATACAGCTTTCGTGTAGCAAGTTTGGCTTAGTATAACATGGCAATAAACTGGAAGGTTGGAGAATTAATTGTTTAGTTTGAGATAAATCTCAAACTAATTGTTCCTATATTGTAAATAATTTATATGACAATTATATGAACAATAAGTTTGAGATTAACACACTATTTTATTTTGTCATCTACATAAATGACGAAATTAAATAAATAAAAAGTCGACTTTCCGAAAAAAAAAAAAAAAAATTCTCCAAAAATAATAATAGTAATAAAATCAATAAAAAAAAGCAAATATAAATTATAACTAATAAGTCTAATAAGAGATTAGCTCACTTTTAAAAAACATGCAAAACTTTGTGACCATTTATATAAATATATATAAGTATTTACATGTGTTTTATCGAATCGTAAATTAACAACTTAAGCAATTCTAGCTTCTATATAAATGAAAAATAAACATCAAAACTCAGTTTTCAAGCTTACTTTTCTATTTATAAGTTGTTGGATTTCATTTTGAACCTCCATAGCACTTGGTCGTTTTGCAGGGTCGTGTGATCGACAACGAAAGAATAAATTAAAAAAATGAAGTTTTAATTGAGTAGAAGATAGGCTATTGCCAAGAAGAGCAAGCAAAACAGATGGAATTTTCCATATATCAATTTTTTCATTATAACCCACCATCTCATTATCATCAAATGGTCTATTTTCATAAGGCCATAATTGTTCAGGCGCAACAAAATCTCCAAACAGCTGGCGATTCCCACATTTAATTTTATACTGGTTATCACGATGCACCTCGGGAAGAGCGTCAAGATCATTAACAACTAGACGCAATTCATCTGTTATCAAATATTGTGACAATGTTTTGTTTAAGGTATTGCTGTCGCACATAACTCTGGTACCCAAAGGACTATTGTGTAAAAAGGCAATAATGTTTACGTAATCTAAAACAATATTCAATCTTGCACGAAATTCGTCATCTGAAGACATTTTTAGATGAGACAAAACAAAATCCAAGTTATCAGCAGAACCATACTTCCAATATCTTGTAATTAACTACTTAATAAAATAAAAGTAAAAATTTCAAAATTTTATAATTTTAGAATATATGAATTTTTATATGAATTCAGATAAAACGTTGTTAACATTTTTTAAAGTAATATAGAGATAAATGCATCGGCGCCAGCAGAATTTTTATAATGTATTAGATATAACACTTTCACGAATTGTGCAAACAGAGGCGATTTAAGGGAAGGGAGGGAAGAAGGAAGGGACTCATCGACAGATATTAAAATTTAAAAGTTACGATCATGCAAAATTTCAGAACACCCCTCCCCCTAAAATTGAGGAGGTTGTAAATTTCGCATTGACATAACTTTTGAACTTTACAATATTTTTGAATGAAATTTAGTATCTTTAGATGAATTCAAATTTACTAAAAGATAGTAAAGTTTAAAATTTTACTATATTACTGCTTTCGCAATTAGGCAGGAGGATTAAACGTTTTGGGGGATTTTTGTTTCTAGGCCTCCATCATTGCGATTTTTTGCAAAGTATTTTGGCATAAGCTTAAACATGCTTAAGTTTGGACTTACCTCAATGCGTGAAAGTGTCATAAAATAAAAGTGAGATAAAATAATATGTTCTTATTTATAAAATTAAATAAAATTTTACTAAAACTACAAAAATGATTTAGCTTTTTTTTGACAGAAAAAAAGAATAATTTCCTTTTAAAGCTAAAGAGAATTTTGACCCTCATTTAGATATATACAAACAAAAAAAAAAAATTATTTAGTATTTCACGAAACTTTATCTAATAAAAAAAAAAATTTCCATTTCATTTTACATTTGTAATGTATGAAACATTGAAAATCGATAGTTAATTAAAAGAACTTAAAAAAAAGCAACCAATAATATAATAATTAAAAAAACAACCAATTAAAAAAACTTTTATTTTCGTGATAAAGTGCTTTTTGGACTGAATGTCTTTTACATATCGCTTGGGTAAGCATGCTCAATAAAGCTAAACCTTAGATTTTGAATAATTCACATTTACTAATTTGTAGGGATGTACCGAAGCTTCGGCTTCGGCGTGCCGAAGCTTCGGCAATTTTGCCGAAGCTTCGGTTCGGCCGAAGCCAGGTCAATTTTTTGCCGAATCTTTGGCTTCGGCAAAAAATTTTAAGTAATTAGAGTTATAAGCTACTGTGGGACAAGTTATAAAAATAAGCTAATTGCCAGTGTCTAATAAAGTTATAAATTTAGGACTACAGAGTTAAAGTTGGAGTCTATACCATATACTTAGTATTATTTACTCCCAAGTATCTTGTTATGGAGGGGATAATAATAAATAAGTAAAAATGTTTTGAAAAAAATAATAAAATTAGGGAAGGTCCTCATACACTTTGAAAGCTTCCAAGTGTGACTTTAGATGAACTGAAGCAGCATTTCTATGCAGAATAAAAACCTTATAATTTAAAACAAATTAAAAGTTTTTAAAACCTTAATTTGTATTATGTAACGAATTCATATTAATTATTGTGTGGGATTACCGCAAATAGAACAAAATTTGGTTTCAACATTTGACCTATAAACCTTAGTAATCTCTCTTTAAAGAAGATTAAAGATACGTTGCTACTATTTTAAATTGTGTGTATGTTTAATTTTTTAAAATTTTATTTAACCATATTAATAAAAATTTACAAATTTTCATCGTAAATTTACAGAAATTGGTTAGGTGTCACTTATACAGATACAAAATAGTCAATGGAGTGACACATAAAAAACAAAAAGTTCTCAACAACAAAAAAGGAAGAAAAGCAAATGAAATATAAACGAGGAGAATAAAAAAAGAAAAAAAAAGCCAACAAAAACTAGATAAATTAAAAGAAAAAGAAAAACAATGATAATAACTATCCTTGCTCTTTTATTAATATTATGAATACTTCTAAATTGAATTTATATATTAAACATGTAAACCAATATTCTGGTTTCTTCTTATGATATTATGAAGACTTTTAAATTTTATTTAAAATAAATTAAAGGTTGAAGCTTTGATTACTTTGAGCTCTTATATTTATCATCAAAATTTATTTAAATTAAATAAACAATTTAAATCAAATAAATATCAGCCTGCTCAGTCCCTGTTTATTTATAAATATAAAGTAAATAATAATATAATTATAAACAAAAAATTTATAAAGTATTCTATTTATTATTTTATTTAAAGGTCACTCTACAGAGTTGTTAGATTACTATGGAAGCTTTTATCACAGATAGTTAATATTTGATTTCAGATACTGATGCAGATTTATTCATTATAGAGACAGAAGAAGAATGAATACTAAGATTTCAAAGTGTAAAAGATTAAAAAAAGCTATAGAAAATGTTATGTAGTGTAAAGTTAAAAATAATCAAAAAAAAAAAAATACTTAAAAGTGTGTAAAAAAGAAGTTAGAGAGAAATCTATCATTTGTACTTTTAGCAGCAGGTTCACAACAGTTGTAGTGGAATCCAAAATGGTCTTAACTTGGGTTTTTTTCAGTTTAGAAAATATTCGTTTAATGAATACAGAGAAGTAAAAAAAAGATATTGAAATAAATAGCAATAAAAAGATAAAGTGTGTTTCTAAGATTTTTTATGTTGTAGATACAACTAGATCAGCTAAGAGTGTTTATTTAAAGAAAGAGTGATCAAGTGCAAAAGATAAATTTACTCTAGTAATGTTCACAGATTTTTATCAATTTCTATCAACAAAAGGTGCATTAAAAATAAAAATAAAATATACAGCACATGAAAAGATGCTATATAACATTAATATGGTTTGCACACAGAAAAAGTAGAACTAGAAGTAGGAAAATTTGGGGAGAATGTTTCAAAAAAGCTTAAGTTTAAAAAAAAAATGCTCGGTGCGGTCAAGTATTAGAAACGACATAATGAGAAATATTTAAACAGGGGCGCTGAGAGCTTTTGCTCTGCCTGGAACAGCAACCCTGACTGGCGTCCTCATTTTTATACGATTTTTCTATATTATTAGTCAAGGACCATAGTTTTGGTACCTTTTTTGTTTTAAACCCCTCTGATCTGAATGCTGATTAAATTTTAAGCATATATAGTGCCGAAGCTTCGGCTTCGGCCAAAGCTTCGGCTTCGGCAATGTGGCTTCGGCCGAAGCTTCGGCTTCGCCAAAATTTCAGCTTCGGTACATCCCTACTAATTTGTCTTGTTGAAGCTTTGTTTATAATTTTAGTGCTTTTTATCATTGACATTGTTTATGTTTTGCCGTGCAACGAATTTATGAAGTAAAGAAGTTATTGTAATGCAAAATCTAATATTTATTTAATACCATATTCAAAATGTTTATTTTATTTCTAAGTCTTATTTTCAGATACTGTTAAAAATAGTAATAACAATGTCAAAGAAGATAAAGAGAAAGCAACCTACATTGGTAGCGTTTGGTTTCACAAAAAATGTTATGCACAGAGCAGAAATGAGTGCAATCCGAATGCCGTCGAAACTAGTGTTGAGTGCGAACATTGCAAAAATTTATTCAAAAGCCAACAAGGACTTCCGTGCATAACTTTAACTTTGATGTTAAAGTTATGCACGGAATTAGCAAACAAGATTGTAAACATTCACAATCACAAGTTCTTCAATGTAACAAAGAACTTGTCACTCTAGCAGTTAAAGATGTACTTGATAAGATTGTCAACAAAGTTGTTAATGCCATAAAAAAAGTTGAGGCTAGCAAATTAACTGGTAAGAAACGCCACCAATATACTTCTGCCTTTAAAGCAGAGGCCTATGGTTATGAGACAAATCAAGATACTATTGCAGAGTCGTTTGGTGTAACACCAAGTCAGATTTTGCGATGGCTCAAAAAAAAAAGAAACTATTATTAAAGATGCCAAATCATCCGATCGCAAATTGTTTCTGAAGGAAGACGTTCCACAAAATATCTTAAACTATACAAAATTCTTTACAAAGAATTTTTACAAGCCAGATCGAAAGGTCATATTGTTAACTTTTCCTGGCTTTGGAGTAAAGCTAGAAATATACAATTAAACATTGATCCAAACGTGGTAATAAAACATCATGTTATAGTTCGATTTTTACAAAAAAAAGGAGTTAAAAATGAGATCGAAACAAAGAAACAAAAGGAAACATAAGAAAGAAATGGAACCATTATTACAGAAATGGCATGCGAGATACAGAGAAAAGTGTATCAGAACAGATTCTAAAGATCCCAGCTATGACTTAAAATGGGGACGGTACCAACCTAGATAAGGCTCAACGTTGACCAGAGCCCACTTCCCTTTGTTGTTCATGGTAAGAAAACTTACGAATGTGTTCCCAAGGGTCAAGGTGCAGCACATAATACATGGGTCTCACAACCGGGCTCAGGATTGGAAAAAAGGCAATGTTCTCTTCAAATTATGTTTCGGCCAGAAAGAGAGCAACCAAAGCTAGCCATCATTTTCAGAGGTCAAGGAAAACGCATTTCAAAAAACGAAAAGTTAGCATGGCACAAAGATATTCACGTTTATTTCCAACAAAATGCTTGGTTAGACCAAAACGTTTGTAAGCACAGGTGTGATAAAACACTCCTTCCATTTGTCAGAGAACAAAAGCTTGATAAATTTGTTCTTCAGCTGGACAATTTGAAGGGACAGATGTAGGAGGATTTTAAAGATGCTGTGGCTGCTGCTAAAGGACTTCTCTGATACGGTCTACCGACTTTAGGCAACCAGTTGATGCAGGATATGCTGCCACTCTGAAAAGGCTTATTTCCATTGAACATCAAAAATGGCTCGATAGAGATAATCATTCTGATAGATGGTTCAGTAATGAAATGCCCTACACTGCAAAAGAGAGACGAATTTTGATTACAGGGCAGGGGAAGCATGGAAAGCTTTAAACACTTTAAAGTATGACAAGCAAAGGAAGAAATGTTGGACGATGACTGGGTATTTGCAATTATTTTTTAAAATTTAAAATTATGCAATTTTAAAATTATGCAAGATTACATTTAATGACTTCTGATGGCTCAGAAGATCTGCTTGTTAAACCAGAGGGCCTTGATAGTTACAAAGTGCCCCCACCATCCAACATTGATCCTGGCAGTGACCAACCCAAGGGAAATGAAAAACCCAAGGGAAAAAAAAAGGGAAAGTGATATTCAACTGGTGGAGGTAGATGATGCTATAAATGAAGGTGCCAACGAAATTCTTTCAGATGACACCTTTATGGGTCCGGACGAGAAAGAATGCAAAGTTTTCATTTTCATTTGATTTCATTGATAACATTTGTATATAGTATATATTTTTTATTATACTGTACAAAATTCAACTTTTTATTTTTCTTATAACCATTAACTTTTTCTTATAACCATGATAATCTATATAACTATATATAATCTATATAACTATATCTTATAACCTTTTTCTTATAACCATTAAGGCACGTACTTTTAGAAAGTATTGAAATAAGCATATTTTATTAAAAAATGCTTAAGCATATTTTTTAGCCTCTTTTAACTTTTTGCTTAAGCATACCCGAGCCTGATTCAAAAATTTCAAGCTTATAAAAAAACAAAACATGTATTGTGTATGCGGCATCGTCTGAACCGCTTCGCATCAAACACGAAACGTTTTTAGTGACCACTGGGTTAAGCACCTTCCTTAGAACAGACACTTTTTTTTATGAATAAATAATGTATGGCACAAGGCAGTTACTAGCAGCAATACCCAATTAATAGATTTTTTGATTGATTCTAAACAATTTTTTTAATGGTCGTTTAGCAACATGTCTGTAAACTTATTATTGCTTGTCTTAATCATAAGAGAAGCCAATCAAATTCCACTAATGAAACGATGTATTTTCATTAATACTTGCTTCGCTAAACTCGCTTTATATTTTTTTAATTTAGAACAGATTTGATAATAATCGATTTAAAACTATTACGAAGAATTAACAACTAGTGTATTTCATTTAACCCCATATTTCACACGAAATTAGTTTAGAAAAAAGAAGGAAAAAAGTGCGAACGTAAGTAGTAAGAACGGTGCAAAAAATTATGCAAGATTACTTTAAACGTTTATATCATCTTATCCAGAAAAAGATTCTTTACAAGACAATCGAGAAATATTTTCAAAAAGTTTATTTAAAAAAGAATTAAGCAAAAGAACATTATCATAACATAATACATCATTTCATAATACCTCATTGTCATAACATAATACATCATTTCATAATACCCTCGTTAATATATTTTCAAATATATCAAAAATAATTTAGATGAGGAAAGGGCGGCGACTATTACAATGTCTTAGTTTCTTCAAACATATAAACAAAAGCAATAGTCAATGTATCTATCATACCAACAATACTTCGCTCACATAAACGTCTCTTTATCTATGTATTTTCGTTATTCTTGCTTATTAAAAAAAAGATTTTCTTTTAAAGAATTCCGTTCTTTGATTTGAGAGCAAATCTGTTTAACTCACAGTTACTCTCAAATTAATACACATTAGTCTTCTTCACATCTTTAAAACAAAAAATTAATTATCAAGAAAATTATCAATAAATTGCCTAAACTCCTACACGATTTCACTGAAAAAATGATATCACTCCGATTAATTCAAGGGAAGCGGGTTTAATCAAAATATTAAAAGAGCACTTTGTTTTTTAAATAAGGTTCTAGTGCCTGTGAACATTTGGGTAAAACCCATATATACATATATATATATATATATACACTTTTTTTCTTGTAATTCACCTACCCAAGGCACTTCAGATAAGGAGACTACTTGTGGTTATATTAAACATTTTACTACATTTTACTTAGATCAGTTTTTTAAGTAATTTTCTACTTTGAGGTTCTTTGTTTTCCACTGGACATCTGTCCTTTTGTACTTTCATCTCACTCTACTAAACTCTTTTTAAATTACTATGCTTCTCTAAGGCGTTTACTGCTCAGTGCAGTTCTATTAGAATGCATTGCATTCAACACAAAAAATATATAAAGAACAAAAACAATAAACAAAAAAATGTCCAAGAAAAATTTTGTTTTTATAGAAACAATACCTGTAAGTTATCCAAACGATTACAATATCCAATCAACTCAATCACATTCGGACTGCCATGAAACTCTTTTAGCATAGTCAAACCATGCAAAAAATCTTCTTTTAAAAAATTGAATCTAGGAAAACTGACCACAACATTAATATTCATTAGTTCGGCATGGTAAATTCTTTTAACATATCCTGCGGTAGTAAGTTCTTTACCCAAAGCCACATCAGTGCAAAAAAATAAAGTTTGACAGGAGCCATCTTCTTTAACAAACTCATCTCTTTGACATTTTAAAACACAAGGTTTAAAAAAAATAAATAGCGCTAAGATAAAAAACCTGTGCCATATCTGAAAACTTATTTTTTGTTTTTTACTGTCATATAACATGTTATAAGTTTAACTGGAAAATTTTTTAAAGATATAAACTAAAAATAAAAACGCAGAAATTTGGCAAAAGAATAGCAAACAAGATAACAAGATAAAAAAATATTACTGGAGACTACAGCAAGCGCCAAATATTAAGTTTCTTTATTAACCTGTCAATAAGTAAAAAAAAATAAATGCAGATACAAATAAATATTAGTTTTAACATCGCTAAAAAAGCCCTATAAAAATAAAAAAAACATTAAAGATTTTATACGGCTGTAAAAGAAAATTCTTTTAGCAGTAGAAAATGTTTTTCCAGAGATCGAGGAATGTCAGAAAACAAAACTACTTCTTTTAAAAACGCCTTTTTTTTCTTCATCAATCGAATGAACTTTTCTCTTTCGATAGAAATCCATGGCCTAGAGTCATCATTTATTTGGTATGGCGTACTGTATACATATATCTTTGGAATCATACGTGCAGCATAACTTAAACACAGTTCGTTAACAATGTACGCACCTGATTGCCCACAGTTACCCGAGTCTAACCAGAGAAAAGCACTCATTCTTGAAAAAAAAACATCAAGTGTTTGGTCTTTTTCTAACAAAGGAAGTTCGCATAGCATTTGATTAAGTACAACACAGCCTTTGCTAAAACCCAAAAGAGTTATGGGTAAGTTATTTAATAACGATTCATGCTCTCCATTAGCAACTTCTATAACAAGGTGACAAATTAAAATAAAATTCGCATTTTTTAACTAACAGTAATAATAAAAACTATTACAACAATCAATAATTCAATATTTTTTATTAAGATATTATTGATATTATTTTTATGGTAACAGGTAGGGTAGAGCGGGGCAAGTTAAAATATCTCAAAAACTACTCAACACATGACAAAATATCTAATTGATAAAAGATAAGTATTTAGAATGGTAACAAAATGCGCATCAAATGGTTGTTGGAACGCGGTTTAGTAACATGTACGGACACTTTTTCAATTTTGGACCAAAAAAGTAAAAAAAAATATTTTTGCTATTTTTTTCTTAGATGCTTAAAAAAACATTTATCTTAAATCACTTAAGTGTTTATATTTTACCCATTTATTTGGCTATTGATTATACTTATATTTTTTTTCCCCAAGACTTATAGTTCTTTTTATAACCTAACTGATGTGTCGCCTTGTCTAGTAGAAGTAAGTTGAGCAGATTTGACAACGATTAATAAAATGGCTCTAACAGGTGCAAAGATAAAAATTTTGTTTGGTGAACATTTGAAGGTACATTCACACTTTTAAATTAATCATTATTTATTTATTAATCATCTTAAATCGTTTTTTTTTTAAATATGTTATTATGGTTTAAAATTATTTAATTTTTTAATGTTTTTAAAATATTTTTACTTCAATATTACTTGGTCAATAAAATCTTGAAGCTGAAAAGTTCTTGAATAAATTTTTTAAATTAATCTTGTTTACTATGTTTATTATAATAATGTTATGATAGTTTGCATATTTAAAAAACATATAACTTATAATTTATATTATATAAACATATAACTTAAAGTATATATAATCAAAACATATATAAAATATAATATTTCATTTATATTTTGATTATTTATACTATATATAAATAATTTATATATATATTATTTAATAGTACAATATTTAAATAGAAGTTTAAACATTGGTGTATATATATATATATATATATATATATATATATATATATATATATAATATATATATATATATATATATATATATATATATATATAATAGGATGCACAATTATAAAAGAAAAACTTCAAATGGTGCTTTTACAAGCCAACAGCTTAGTGATGCAGCAAATTCAGTTTTGGAGGGGAAAAAAAGTGTCAAGAGAATGACATTAACAAGATATATTTTAAAACTAAACTCTGGTGGTTACCCATCCATGGGTTATTCAAAGCCTAAATTAATTTTTTCCCAAAAGCAAGAAAGTGGCTTAAAAAAATATTTATTGCAAATGACATCTATATTTTACAGCTATACTCCTATAGATGTTCGTTCTCTTGCCTTTGAGTGTGCTCTTCAATACAAAATCAAAATCCCAGATTCTTGGACAGTAAATAAGATGGCTGGTAAAGAGAGTGTGACTAGTTTTTTTTAAAAGAAATTCTCAATTATCTAATAATAAGAAAACCTGAAACAACTAACCTTGGTAGGGCAACATCATTAAACGCTGCAAATGTAAAAGTATTTTTTGTTAAGCTAGGTGAAGTTATGGATATATACAAATTAAATGCTTCACTAATATGGAACGTTGACAAAACTGGTGTATCTATAGTTGTAAAACCTCGTAAAATTGTGCCTGAAAAGGGCAAGGGAAATGTTGACGCTATGACAACTGGGGAAAGAGGGACTAATGTCACAATGATAACTGCTTTAACTGCCTCAGGAAATCTTAAATGTTTGTGTTCCCTCAAAGATTATTTTGTTATTAAAGATTAACAAAGATTATTTTGTTAATAATGTTCCACCGGACTGTATTGGGGTAGGTAATGGAAGTGGCTGGGTTTGAAAGTTTCACATGCCTAATTTCATTAGGCATGTGAAACTTTCAAATGGATATAGAATTCTGTTGATTTTGGACACACTTCTCACTTGCATTTTGAAACACTAAACTTAGCAAAGGAGAATGGAATAGCCATGTTGTCTTTCCCACCACACTGCAGCCATAAGCAGCAGCCACTAAATGTATCATGATGGACCTTTTAAAAAGTATCGATCAGCTGCACAAGATGCATGGCTGAGAAAAGCCATAACAATTTATGATATACCAAAAATTGTATCTGATTCATTGCCATTAGCAATAACGTGTACTAACATTACAAAGGGTTTTCAAAAAACTGGCGTATACTCGTTGGTAAAAATGGTAAAAATCATCATGCAAACATTTTTGCTGCTGATGATTTTTACCATTATTTGTCACAGATCGTATAGAACCACCAAATCTCATATCTGAGCTATTCCACGTAGCTCATTCTGAAGTATGTTTAACATCATCTTCAGGTCAATCTGTCCAAATAGTATTAATAAAGAGACATTACTTATTCCTGAAACTCCTAAAATATTTTCTCCAGAAACTGTGCAACCTTGCCCAAAAGCAGCACCAAGAAAGATACATTTGACAAGACAAAGAAAAAGGAAAGCTGCTATTCTAACAGATACTCTAGAAAGTATTATATTAAAACAGCAGCAAACTAAGAAACTTAAAAAAGTTAAGAAACAAAAAAAATTACCTACCTGTCAATCCCTTTCAAATATTAATAAAAAGTGTGGTAATAAAGTTACATCACTCAGTTACATAGTATAATAAAAAGGTTAAGAGACAAACAAGCAAAAAAACTGAGAAGAAAGAAATTTTAAAGAAACCAAAAAAAAGGTCTGCCTGTCAATTCTTTGCAGATCATGGTAATAAGGAGACTCTGCTGCTTAGTATATTAAAAAAAGTTAAAAAACAATCAAACAAAAAAACTAAGATGACAAAAAAAATTGTAACAAGTGCAGAACACGATTATGCTTGTCTTGTATGTTGGGAAACTTATTCTGAAAGTCTACCAGAAGAAAATTGTGTCAAGGTTGCAGTCAAAGGTCTCATTCAAAATGTGATTCACATTCTGGTCAAAATTATATTTGTATTAACTGCAAAAAGGAAATTGAAGACTAACATAAAGTGTTATTATTTTATCATAATATTAACAAGTTTTGTTTTAAAATGTTTTAAAAAAGTTGTGTTTAGTTTAAAGATTTATAGTTTTGTCTTTATTTTAGTATCAAAATTATAAGTTTTTATATTCATGTTTTAAATAATTTGTTAAATTGAAAGTATATATTTAACTTATAAGGAAACTATGTTTTGGTTTTATAACAGAGTTAATAGTTGTCACAGAAATGCACTCATTTTTTTATTGCTCAACTTATCCAACACAATTGCTCAACTTACCCTGCTGGGGTAGGTTGAGCAGCCTAATAAACTTTAGACTATATTTTCTAAAACAAACTTAAAAAAGTTTTTTTGTCTTAACCATTTTTTAGCAGACCAAATTATCTTTTTAATAGTGGAAAAATGTTATTAATCGGATGTGCCATTCAAGAGATCTGTTAGATTTATTAAAAATTGCCTAACTAGCCCCCCCTCCCCTAACCCTATACTGAGCTGAATTTCTCAATGACATGTTTGACTAAAAAAAATATTTTTCCTTGTTTATCAATTTGCATAATACCTTAAACTTACATATTTTATAAAAAACGTTATCACTATATATAATTTTCAATTTGTGTAATTTTAAATTTGAGCGAAAATCATACTACAAAACCAGTCAGTAATATATACAATTTTATTTTCTAGGTTATAGCATTATAAAATTTATGTCGCAATGATACAAATTATTTGAATATATTTAATTTTATTAGAATTTAAATGCAGAATGCAGTTTTTCTAAGCGGATTAAAAATGCCTAATGTTTCATGTAAAAACTTTTGTGAAAATTTTGTTATATGTAATAACTTAAATTTTACCATGTAAGGTAATTCATTGTTTCCTGTCGATTTTTATTTCTTTATAAATAATTTTGTCAGCGGTGCTTAATTAAATAAGTGTAACACAAACATTTGCATGATTTGGCTCAATCACTCTCATGTTTAAATTCATTATTGCAAATAGTTGATCATAATTAGTCCCTAAATTATCAAATACCCTTATTTTGAGATTTAAACTTTTTCAACCTCAAAAATAACTAGTTAAACCTAATCTGGTTTTTGAAAAAAGACCATTTATAACAAGGTCTTTATGATTAAAAATAATTCAAACAGATAAAATAAACAAACCTTTATACAGAGCCTGTAGCACAAAATGCAACCTGGATATAGCTTTGATGGAATCATTTGAATATTTTGGGACTCCAAATAAATTTCCGTCAACAAAATTCTTGTAGCTTGCAAAGGTATTAAGATGGAGTCGACTCGCTCGAATAACAACAACTAAAGCTAGTTCAAAATGATCATAAACAATTTTTGCTGTGTCCTCCAAGCTAAAGTCCTTCCATACATAATTATCTCTATGGGCCTGCATCTTGTCTCTAAAATCCTAAAATAATAAAAATAAAAATTAAATGAAAAAAAACCTTTTCACAAAAACCCTTACTAGTCTTTTAACTTTTTTTTACAAAAATAATTAAAATATTTATAAAGGTTGTAGAAGTTATGTTGTGGTTACAGAACTCGTTTTGCAAAAACTGAACAAAATTTTTGAGGTAGTATTGTTCACTACTGACCTCTCATGCAAACTACACATACAATTGATTCCTAACATCTGCTAAGGTTGTTTCTCTTTATCCTGTTTGCCATCATCTTACTCCTGATTACATCTCTACAAACAAAATCTAGTTTTTTGCCTGTGCTTTAACACTTTGAAACTCTCTCTCATCCTCATGTTTTCCTGACTCATACAACAATCTTCTGTCATTTGCTTGCTCTTTAACTCTATTCTTTGTTTTATAGTAACTCCAACTTAATAAGACTTGTTGGGAGTGAAATAATTCCCTCAAATGAAGTAGGAAAACAAAAACCTTTCTATCTTCCTAATCAAAGATTAGGATGATAGAAAGGTAGGAAAAAAAAAAAAAAAATTTTTTTTAAAAAAATTGTTTTTTTTTTTTTTTTTTAATTTGCATTCACTCCCAACAACGCTGCAAGCAACCACTATCAAGTTGGGAGTTACTAGGAAAAAAAAGAACAGAGTTATAGAGCAAGGCAAAGGTTGACAGAAGACTTGAAAAGTTGAAGGTTGTATGAGTCAGGAAAACATGAAGATGGGAGAGAGTTCCAAAGGATTGAAGTGCGGGGAAAAAAACTAGATGAATAAAAGTTTTTAGAGCATGCAGGGACAGATACAGTAAACAAATGAGACTTAGCTGAATGACGAGTAAAACGAGAATGAGATGCAACTTTATGACGATGGGAAAGAGGTTCAAGCTTAGCAGATAGTCCAGGTCCAACAACATTTACAATGGGTTTTTGGACCTTGTCAAGAAGAGAAAGTGAATCGTTAGAAGAACCAGCCCAAATATGACAACAGTATTCCATACAGGGACGAATAAGAGATTTGTAGAGGTAGAGAATGGAATTAGAAGTAAGAAAATGGCGAGCACGATAAAGAGAAGCAACCTTACCAGAAGCTAATTAAGCAATCGATTGTATATATGGTTTCCATGAAAGGTCAGTAGTAAGCGATAATCCAAGAAGACGTAAAGAGGAGGACTCAGTAAGAGGATTGCAATTCATTAATATAGGAATGTTGACCATATTACAGTAGTTGTTTGCAGTAAGCAACTAGGTTTTTTTAGAGTTGAAATCCACAAGCCACTGTGAACCCTAATCTATTGCTGAAGTGAGATCGGATTCAAGATCAGCTGCTTGTTCTAGGCAATCAAAAAGAGAAGACTTTTTGTCAAGACAGGAGTATAAAGTTGAGTCATCAGCAAAAAGAGCTACTTTAGATGAAAGGTTGTCAGGAAGATCGTTTATGTAGATAAGAAACAAAACAGAGCCCAGGATGGAACCTTGGGGAACCCCAGAAGTTACTGGAAATAAAGAAGAGTGTTGGCCTTCAAGAATGACTTTAATAAACCGGTTAGAAAGAAATGATTTGATAATCTCAAAAACTTTTCCAGAAACACCATATGAAGCAAGCTTATGGAGAAGACCAGCATGCCAAACTTTGTCGAAAGCTTTAGATATGTCGAGAACAATAGCCCTAGCCTCACCGCCTCCATCTAATGCATGATAAAATCTTTTAGTTACAGCTGTTAGCAAGTCAGCTGTAGAGCAAGAGGATCGAAAACCGTATTGATTGTCTGACAGTAGTTTATTTGGCTCAAGATGAGATGTGAGGAATTTGTTGATCAAAGACTCAAAGACCTTGCTAATAACAGAAAGAAGACTGATCGGACGATAATTGGAGGGGTCAGAATTTTCTCCAGAGCTTTTGAATATTGGAACCACAGATGCCATTTTCCAACAAACAGGAAAACAAGACTTAGTCAAACACTTGTTAAATAGTTTAGAGAGAATTGAAGAAAGTTCTGGAGAACAATTCTGCAAGACTGTGACAGGAATGTTGTCTGGACCACAAGCTGTAGACGAGTTTAATTGAGATATGACTTTAGCAACAGAAGCCGGAGTGATTTGAATGTCTAACAATGGGTCAACCTGTTTGACTGAAATGGAAGGAAGAGAATGTCCATAAGATTCAAGAGTGGAATTAGAAGAAAAGTTCTTTGCAAATAGTTCTGCCTTATCCTTGGGAGATGTAATAAGATCAGTCCCATGAATGAGAGATGGAATGTTAGATCTACCCTTGTTAACAATGCTGTTGAAGATTTTCCAAAAGACTTTAGAGCCTAACTTCTGTGATAAGATGCGAGATTTAGTGAACTGAGAATAATGGAGTTTAGCATCAAAAAGCACCTTTTTACATCGATTTCTTGCAATAATAAATAGCCGTTTGTTCTCAAGAGAGTTGTTCTTTTGAAAAATATGAAAAAAATGATTACGATTGGATATAGCAGCCGCACAAGAAGGAGAAAACCATGGAGTAGAATGAGGCTTGACTTTAAACCGACGCGAAGGAATAAAAGCTTCCATTCCAGCCTAAATCCAGGAGGTTATGTAGAAGGCGCATTTGATGTTTTTTCTCTCAGCTGAGAGAGAAAAAACATCAGCCCAAGGACCATCACAGAGAAAATCACGAAAGGAATCCCAGTCAGCTTTAGGGTAGTAGTAGGTGGTGCGATGATAAGGTGAGCCCAAAAAAGAAGTACCAGAAGAAAGATTGATTTTAAATAAATTTTTCTTGTACTGAAAAGCAAATTTCTTATAAAAACAAAACAAAACAAAAACAGTTAAAAACAAAGAATAAAAAAAACTTTTTTTAATTAAAAACTTATAAAAAAAAACCTGAACATCTCCTGGAAATACGATCACAATTTGATTTATTTCATTGGTATGATAATACAAAACATCATTTCCATTTTCTTCAGCTAATGGAACATGAGTTCGAACTACATCAGGTAAAGCTAAAACAATGCAACATAAATATATAATATTACAAAAAATTAGAACTTTAATAAGTTTAATAGGTATGTTAAGACAAAGTTGCACTGAATTATATGTGTGTTTCAGTGACGGCCTTATGTTTAAGTGACATCTTTTTTTTTTAATATTGCAAAACCTTATATATATATATATATATATATATATTTATAATGAAATAAGTAAAAAATAGCGACTTTAGTTTAAGAAACATGACTCTGAGTTTCATGCCTATGGCAATCATCAGTGGATCTAATGATGGGCATTAGTGTGCTGACCATAACTTAATAGATAAGAATCTTTTTTAATTTTTTTAATAAGTATAACATTCAGAATATTTTTTTGTTGTTGTTTATTTTTATTACATTAACTGACAAATAGGTAGACTATTCAAGGAGTGTAAATACATCTATTAAGTGACTGGGGCACCAGCTAAAAATAGGAGTAAAAAATAACAATTTATTATATATGTATGTATATATAATAAATTGTTTTTTTCTGCTTTAAGAATGGCTACTTATCATTTTAGTTTTTTTTAATTAATTTGATGCTTTTTAGTAAATATTCATTGTACAACGACTTACATACGACATACAATATATTTGCAAAACTATTATCTACATGTATACTTTTTAAATAAACACTGCAGTGATTTTTGTACATTTCTATTTAAACTTATATGGATTTTAAAAGGTTAGTAATTTATAAACATTTTATTTTATATATTATTTATAAATTAAATATATGAAAAAAATTAAATTACTAATTTATATATAACTATATATATATATATATATATATATATATATATATATATATATATATATATATATATATATATATATATATATATATATACATATATATATATATATATATATATATATATATATATATATACATATATATATATATATATATATATATATATATATATATATATATATATATATATATATATATATATATATATATATATATTTAAATTTATATATATATATAATTCTTAGAAGTGTTTAAAGAAACACTAAGAATAAGAATTGAATAAAAATAAAACGAATATGACTAATAATGAAATTGAAAAATTTAATTTATCATATAAGTTATATACAAAAATATTACATAAAAACAACGTTATGACTTAAATAATAATCAGAAATATATAAAAAAATGTAAACTTTTCTTTGAATATATATATAAATATATATATATATATATATATATATATATATATATATATATATATATATTATATAAATTATTTATCTTTGCTTCCAACAAGGCTGCGAGCAACCACTAATTAGTGTTGGAAGTTACCGGAAGAGAAAAGATGAGGATTGGAGAGCAAGATAATGATTGACAGATGACTTAAAAGATTGAAAATTATATGAATCAGGAAAGCAAGATGAAGGAAACAAATTCCAAAGAGCGGATGTTCGAGGAAAAAAACTAGACGAATAAGAGTTTTTGGAGCACTTAGGAATAGTAACAAAAAAAGGATGAGATAATTGAATGACGAGTAACACGAGACGAAAAAAAAGGATGAGATAATTGAATGACGAGTAACACGAGAATGAATTTTAGTAGATGGCACAAGAGACGCTAGCTCTTTAGAGCAGTGCCCATTTGTAGAAAAGAAAAAGAGAAACAACATTAAGACGATGTGACAGAGGTTGAAGGTTGGCTGCAAGAGCAGGTCCAACTATGTTTACAATGCGTTTTTGCACCTTATCTAAAGAGAAAGGGCATCATTAGGAGATCTGCCCCAGATCTGGCAACAGTATTCCATACAAGGCCGGATTTGAGATTTATAGAGATAGAGAATAGAATCCAGAGTAAGAAAGTGACAAGCTCGATAAAGAGAAGCAACTTTAGCAGATGCTAATTTTGCAACGGATTTGATATAAGGTTTCCAAGAAATATCAGAAGTAAGAGTTAATCCTAGAAGATGAAGGGTAGGAGACTCATCGAGTACATTACCGTTCATAAATATAGGAAGGTCAAAAAACAATGCCACCTTAGATGAGAGAATATCTGGAAGATCCTTAATGTAAATTAAAAAGAGTATAGGGCCAAGAATTGAACCTTGGGGAACCCCTGAGGTTACAGAATAAGAAGAGTACTGTCTATCGAGGAAAACTTTTATACTACGATTGTAAAGAAAGGACTCAATAATCTTAAAGATGTTTCCAGATACACCGCCATAAGAAAGCTTATGGAGAAGACCAGCATGCCAAACTTTATCAAACGCTTTAGAAATGTCAAGAGCGATGGCCTTAACCTCTCCATTTTTATCTAATGCGCGATAAAACCTATCGGTTATTACTGATAGCAAATCAGCCGTAGAACGAGAAGGTCGAAATCCATATTGATGATCAGAAAGTAGGTTATGATATTCAAGATGAGAGATTAAGTGTTTGTTAATTAAAGATTCAAAAACCTTGCTTATGATAGGAAGAAGACTAATGGGACGGTAGTTAGATGAATCAGATCGCTCTCCAGAATTTTCAAAAATAGGGATAACAGATGCTGCTTTCCAGCAGGCTGGAAAACAAGACTCTGATAAGCACTTGTTAAATAGTTTTGAAAGGATTGACAACAGCTCCGGAGAACACTTCTGCAAGACTATAACAGGTATGTTGTCCGGGCCGCAAGCTGTAGAAGAGTCTAAGCGGGAAATCACTTTAGATCACAGAAGCTGGAGTGATACGAATGTCGAGCAATGGATCAACCTGTTTGACGGCTATATCAAGTAGAGCGCAACTAGTGGAGTCAAGAGATAATATTGATAAAAATTTCTTGGCAAACAATTCAGCTTTGTCTTTAGGTGAGGTGACAAAGTCTGAACCATACAAAAGAGGTGGAATTACAGACTTGCCCTTATTATTGATACTATTAAAGATTCTCCAGAAGTCACGAGAGCCTAATTTTTGTGATGAAATACAAGATTTCATGATCTGAGAATAGCGGGTTTTGGCGTTAGACAAAACCTTTTTACAATGGTTCCTAGCAGTAATAAAGAGACGTCTGTTTTCTGGAGAATTGTTTTGCTGATAGATATGGAAGTAATGGTTTCGATTGGCAATTGCAGCAGCACAATGTGAGGAAAACCATGGAGAAGAGTGAGGCTTGACCTGGAATCGTCGAGAGGGAATAAAGGATTCCATGCCAGCCTGAACCCATGAAGTTATGTAAGAAGCACATTTGTCAACAAGGAGACGAAAGATATCTACCCAGGGGCCATCACGAAGAAAACCACGGAAAGAGTCCCAGTCAGCTTTAAGGTAGTTGTAAGATGTACAATGATAGGAGGATTCTGATGGTAAAGAAGAATGAGAAAATAGTTTTAGAGAGACCAAACCATGATCAGACGCACCTAAGGGTGAGTGTGAAGAAACTGAGCACTGACTAGGATCAGAAACAAGACATAAGTCGAGTAGTGAAGTTAAATGATTCAGGTTGTCTGGTGAACTTTGCAAGAGGTAAGACTTAATAGGGTGGTCTTAAACTTTGCAAGAGGTAAGACTCAATAGAAGAAAAGTTACTTCAAAGACCACGAATATTAGTGAATAATAGGTTTAGCGAACTTGGTGATGACTGTGGTTTTTTGTGTTTTATAGTTTTTGTTACTTTATTCATTTTTAGATTTGTTAAAGAAATTGACTCGAAAAATAGATAATACTCAGTACACTGTTTTATAGCTCAAGCAATTGCCTCATTTCCACTAATAAACCCTAAACTGTAACAGAGGGGTCCAATGTGGCCTTGGCAATGCACACCAAAAGTACAAACAGGGACACCATCCATGCGCAACATGGCACTGTTAGTACTCTGATGTTTTTCAGCTGTTGATGGAATCAGCCTCTCTGAGAGCTACCACAGAGTTCGGGAAACCTGACTACCAGCCGGCCTCAGAACCATAAAACTGAGTTTTAGAGCTGTACCCTCATTTGGAGATAATAGAATGAGTTGCCTAGTCATAAAAACAGAGACACAAGCAAAAACCATGAATTGAGTCAAGAAGATCCAGCGTTCAACATCCTAAACTGGAAACAATGTATTAAAAATACATCTGCGCCAGCCTAATAGATGAGGAAGGGATGCGAGGCTGGTCAACAGATAGAATCTGTTTACCCCTTAATATATATATATATATATATATATATATATATATATATATATATATATATATATATATATATATATATATATATATATATATATATATATATATATATATATATATATATAATTCTTAGAAGTGTATAAAGAAACACTAAGAATAAGAACTGAATAAAAATAAAACGAATATGACTAATAAAGAAATTGAAAAATTTATCATATAAGTTATATACAAAAATATTACATAAAAATAACGTTATGATTTAAATAATAATCAGAAATATATAAAAAAAAATGTAAACTTTTCTTTGAATATATATATATATATATATATATATATATATATATATATATATATATATATATATATATATATATATATATACATATAATAATAATAATAATAATAGTAATAATATGTAATATGTATAAATATACAATAAATATATAAAAAAATTGATTATTTTTTTTTGTATATTAATAGTCATACTCATACCTGTTTTATGTTAATGAAATACGTTATATACATAAAAAATATGTGTGAATATATGTTATACATATGTTATACATATAAACATTTACATATACATTTTTCATTTAAATTAACTTTAACTAATTTTTTAAGTAATTTAAACCAATTTTCTTATTTAAACTTTTTCTAACAGCCTGACTATCAAAAAAAATTTTGATGAAGAGAAAAAAAAATTACCTTGAACATAGATTTTATTTTCCATTTAAACATTCCAAAATTTGATAATTACATCTTATGATCACATTGATACTGATGGAAAATATTAAAAATTTAAAACTAATAAAAAAAGAAATAAAAAAAATTTAATGTAAATTTAATGTGTATGTAATTTATACATTAATGTACATATTTTTTACAATCTCATGCATCTAAGCTAGATGAACTTTTGTGCAAGAAAAATATTTTTTATATGCTGTCATGTTGGATTAAGTTTATGTATTACACATGTTATACACATGTATCAGACAAAATAAACATGTCTTATAATTGTTGATAAATTAACATATATTGTTATATATATTATTACATATATTTTTAAGTTATATATATATATATATTACATATTACATATATTGACAACTTAAGAAAGTTATTAGCATATTAATTAAGATATTAACATAAACTAATCTAAATATTTGTAAAATCATATGACAACATTTAAATCATATGACAACATTTAAATCATATGACAACATTTAAATCATATGACAACATTTAAATCATATGACAACATTTAAATCATATGACAACATTTAAATCATATGACAACATTTAAATCATATGACAACATTAAAATCATATGACAACATTCAAACCATATGACAACATTCAAATCATATGACAACATTCAAATCATATGACAACATTAAAATCATATAACAACATTAAAATCATATGACAACATTAAAATCATATACAACATTCAAATCATATGACAACATTAAAATCATATGACAACATTAAAATCATATGACAACATTAAATCATATGACAACATTCAAATCATATGACAACATTAAAATCATATGACAACATTTATTGCACAATATCACTGTTTACTGCTTTTAATTATGTGTATTATCATATACTTTTTTATTTATTTAATTCACCTGGTCAAAGCTATGGAGGAAACTACTTTATTTTATTTAATACTTAATTTTTTTTTTTCTTTTGCAACTCCCCTTAAACTCAACATTAAACAACTAAACTCCCTAAACTTTTTAAGCTCTCTCTAAACTTAGGAAACAACAAGGCTGCTGTATGGAGAAACAGGTATTTTTTTCTTTCTTGTTTCTACAAGACAGCATAAACTTTTTTACATTGCTTTGATTAAATAGTTATTACACTGAATGGATCTTGTGGCATTTTAATTACAGATAATTTAATCTTTAAATAAATCTGCATACCAAACTCTAAACTAGATATAAAAACAATTTTCAAAATTTTTTTGTAATTTAATATTGCATTGCTGATTTTAAGTTAGGTAGATGGTAAATACATTCTATGACTTAGTAATACCCAAAAATTTGTTGATATTATTCTCTGAAAACTGGTTATATTAGCAATAAGTACTTTATCATTCAATAAAATTATTAGGATGTTTTACTTGTTTAGACAAAAGTTCATCTATATATGATACAGAAAGTCTTATCCTAAAAAAAAATTATCTATTGCAAGTAGAGTAATTTAAAAATTTTCTTTTGCTTATTGAGACACTGTAATTAGGACACATGCAATTTAAGATAACAATTAAAACAGTATTTCCGCTTAATATAGAATAACAATTAAAACAGTATTTCCCCTTAATTTAACTTTTGCTAACATAAATATTTCAGACACTCACAAAATAAAAAGAAGTATATAAGTATAAAAATAATTAGCAAAAAAAACAAAACAAAAACAAAAAAAAAAACACAACATTAAAACACTGAAATAAAAATACAAAAAAAAAAAACTACAACATTAAAACACTGAAATAAAAATACAAAAAGAACTAAAACAATAATGTATGAAATTTTATTCTCCTAATAATAATAAAAAAAAAATACAAAATATTAAAAATTTATTCTTCTAGTATTAAAAAAAATAATACAAAATATATTATATCTAAAGCTCAAATTCTTTGAGCAATAATAACATTTTTTTTGATTTCATTTTGTTGTCAACTATTGAATTCTGGGTAATACACATTAAATTGCATACTTTTTCTTGCCAAAATCATTGATTACACAAATATGCTACAAAGAAATTATAAAACCATTAAATAATGTCTAAACCTAAAAAAAATTAAAATTAATAATACTGCACCAAAAAAAAAAAAAAAAAATTACAAGTAATAAGAACTTACATTTAAATCACGAAAATATTCATTATAGTCCTAGAGAAAAACAACAAAATACAAAAAAATAAAAATAAAAAAAAACAAAGAGAAGTCACATCCAATTGTTACAAAGTAAAGGAATGTCAAATAACTCACAAATTGAAAGGATGTCACATCCATTTATAAAAATAATTGAAAGGATGTCACATCCATTCATCAAAAATAAAAAGAAGCCACAAATTGAAGGGAAAAAAATTTACCAAAGCATAGCCAATAACAAACTTGTTTGGAATTTCAAAACCAACATCTGAAAAAAAAAACAAAAAAAACCGTTGATGCGGTATTTTTAACAAACAATGAAAATATAACACTTTTACAAGACTTTTTAATAATAATATTTTTTTTAAGTATGTTTTACAAAATGATTTTTTATGAAATATTTATGTAACTTAGTTAATATCAACTAAGGGTTATATAGTGATTATAGTGTTAGTTTTTTAATACATAAAATTCAAAGATATTTATCGTGGTTAAAGTCAGAGCAGAAGCAAAAACTTACAAACCAGAGCAATGAGTTTAAAAAAACTTAAAGCTGGAGCTACAAAATTTTGAATTTCACTCCTTCCTGCTGATATACACATATAATAAAATGATACTGATATACACATATAATAATATGATACTGATTAGCTGTTATATGATATTGACTGGATGAATTCTAAGATTAGGTAAAATACTGAAGCAAGAACATTGAAAAATGTGTGAATTTATATGTTGATTAAAGTGACTCTAATAAAAGGTAAACTTAAAAATTATTCTTAATTATTAAAATAAGTTAAATATAAGAATAATTATCAATTATTCTTATATTTAAATTATTTTAATTTTTAAAAATTTAAATAAATTTAAACAAGTTTAACAAATTAATTATTATTTAATAAATAAAATTTAAAAAATAAAATTTAATAAATTAAACTTAAATTTATTAAGAATATATGTGTATATATATATATATATATATATATATATATATATATATATATATATATATATATATATATATATATATATATATATATATATATATATATTAATGAAGAAAAAACAACTTTTTCTATGGTACTTTAAGTTTCATGCCTATACGGCAATCATCAGCCATTGAATACAAAATCAAAAACAAAAAAACCCGCTAAAAATTACAAAATACTGTGTAGTGGAATCTTAACGTTGCTAAGTCACTCTTAATGGCAACCAAAGAAAAAACAAAATATCAGCTAACCTTTGGTGTCAAAAAAAGATAAAAGGAATTTATTTTTGTGTCTGCATTTTGAAATCAACTCATTTCGTTTATTTAATCACCTTTATATGTTAAAATGAGGAATTTTTCAAATAAGCAAAGATGGCAAATTTTTGACAAGGCGTTATAAGTATTGCAATGTTTTACAATTTTTCACTTAATTAAGGGTGTGCACATTTTGTCTTTTATGTCCCAAATTTCTTTAGACAACTCGGTATCATTTTTATATTTGTTAATGTTAAAAGATTTTAGTTGGTTCGCATACCGAGATTTGAACGGTGTTTCACATAAACCAAAATATACTTTTTCTTTGTAGTCAGGTTTATTTGACGACACAGTGGCTTGATAAACGATGTTTTTTGTCAAGCAACCTGATGCTAACCTCCTAAAAGATTAAGGATGGCAAATTATTGCCAATCTCATTTTTCCTAATTCCAAGGGTTGTATATAAATATATGTATATAAAATAGTATATAAAAAAGTAAAAAGATGTTAACACTTACAATCTGGTATATACCCTGTACTATCTGGTCTTCTCTTTAGAAGTAAACTAATATTGATGATATTAAATTTATTTCTCAAATATATTTAACAAAAACAATAAAGTACTTCTCAATTAAATATAATAAGTATTACATATACATACATATATAAATTATTTATATAAATAATTTAATTAAAATAATAAGATATATAAATTTATTTTATATCTATTATTTAAAATTTTTTAATTTTTTGTGTTGTCATATTAATTTGTTGTTGGCTTGTGTTGTATTGGTTTCTTTGATAGCTTTCATTACTGTTGCAATATAATTGTTAAAGAGTAAAATAATCGAAGTTGATTTTTGCTTAGATTAGTTATTTATTTTTGTTATTCATTTATGTCGATTATATTCAATCAATTACTCATAAAGTAAAGTCTTATTATTATTATCTTCGCTTTTCAAAAAATGTGTTATTTAATGTTTTAGGTTGTCAATTAGCATCGGGTGTCCCATTATTTTTTTTCTCTACTAATTTAATTATTTTTATACTTTTTACTTTTATTTGATATTTTCAGAAAAATGGGAGTTTTCATAATTTTTTCAGACTGTTTTTAGTAACAAGATCCATATTGGAAATGTTAACATAAGTGGTGTAAAAAAATTACCTTTTTTAAATTATTTTCAAATGTGTGTTTTTGTTCTTATTTTTTAGTGGTTAGGTTTTTATTTGTTGGTAATATTTTTATCTTTTAGCTATATTTTATGTTCCAAATTTTTAAATGGAATGATGATTTATTGTTCCCGCCTGATGATTAATTATTGATTTAAATAAAAATATGACTATGATATGTATTGATCGAAAAAAATTGAAAAAATCAAAATTTTTTTTTTAACTCTTTTATTTGTTTGCCTACTGCTTTGCGGTAAGGGATCATCTATAAATTGCATCACACAATTTTTGACCCTTTTTAACCCCTGCCCCCTTGTCGCAACATCATAACACTTTAGTAACAAGTCTCATATGTGTCATCGCAAAACCACTAATTCCCCCTAGAGCGTGACGTAATTTATGGACGACCCCTAAGGGGGTTGACATTAGTACGAAATTGTATCTTTTGTTTATCAGTTTGTAATTGCTATTTTTTAAACATAATATTTCTCATATATATAACATTTAACAATATATAATTTAACTTATAACATATATAATTTAACATTTATAATTTTAACATATATAATTTAACATATATAATTTAACATATATAATTTAACATAACATAACTAATTTAACATTTAACATATATAACATATAACAACATTTCTCATATATATAAAAAAAATCTTAATATTTTTGTTTGGCCGAGTTTAAAATAGCTTCAGCTACATTTTTTAATTAACAGCTTAAGTTGCAGTTATAATGTGCAAGTAGCATATTTAATACTATTAACACATTTCTATTAGTAATTGCTTTTACTTAACATGATTTAAAAAAGTATAAGCAAAATCATAAATATTACAATATTTACTTTAATCAGTTATAAAAAACTATTTAATATATTTAATCATGCTGACTATAAAACATGTTTTTTTTTTTTAAAGTGTATTAAATTGTTATTGCGAAAAGCTATGTAAAACAATAATAAAACAATAGTGTAAAGTTGATTTGTCAATATAAAAGCTTGTGTTAATATAAAACAACTTTTATTGTTTTGTTGCTGTTTTATATAGTTAATAACATTAAGAACATCAAACACGTTTAAAATAAAACAAAGTAAATAAATAGAATTATTCAAATTAAGAAATTAGAATTGATGAAAATATAAAACTTACTTTAGTACTATAGTATAGTATTATTAAAGTATAGTATTAGTAGTCTAAGTATACTTAAAAAACATTTTTTTCTCCATAAATCTTACTATATGCTTAATTTTATTATAAAATTTTTTTGAACAGAATTGTAATAATATCTGTTTTTAAAATTTAAAGTTTCTATAATTTAGTTTTTATTTCAATTGTTTAATGTTTGTAACAGAATGTTTGCAATAGAATGTTTGCAACAGAATGTTTGCAACAGATTGTTTGCAACAATTTTGTAAGCTTTTGTTACTTCTCTTCAATTTTAAGTCAAGCCTCATTCTACTCCACATTTTTCAATATTAATCATTTTTTATCTTTTTTACAAGAACATCTCTCTTTAGAACAAAAGGCTCTCTTATTATTGGAAGAAGCCAATGTAAAAAAGTCCTGTCTGATGTTAAGCTCTGTTATTCTTATTTTACTAAATCTTTTATCTTATCTTAGATGTTAGGTTCTAGAGACTTTTGGATAGTCTTCAACAAAGTCATTAACTAATGTAAGTCTAACATTATCTCTAACTCATGGGTCTGATCTTTTTACTTCTCCCCAAAATAAAGCAGAGTTATTTTGCAAAGAAATCTTTCTCTAATTTGACTCTTGAATATAATGGTCATAATCTTTCTGACAGTTAAACAGATTAACCCATTTTTAAACACTGAAATCACTCTGGCTTCCAATACTAATATTAACTCTCAATTAAAGACTTCTACAGTTTGTGCTTCAGACAAGATTTCTATCATAGTCTTAAAAAAGTATTTTCCAAAACTCTCTTTAATTTTTAATTTTAATTTTTAACTTTTAAAAAGTGCTAAATAAGTCTAATTTTTTAAAAATCTAGAAAACAATTTGACTTCTCCAGCTATCCTACAATTAGTCTTCGCTCTGTTATTAGTTTCTTGTTATAAAGGTTTTGAGGTTATTAAACTATTTTTTTCTAACTGCAGTTCATCAGTTTTGTTGTCTAACAAAAATCCACAATTTTTGTTAGACAACAAGACTCATTTATTTACTAAAAAAAAATATTGCAATATTGTTAGCATTCCTATATTGACAAAAAACAACCCTCGTACTCTCAGACAAAGTCTAAAAGCATATTGTAAATGTAACTAGACCTACTTTATTTGCCCAGCTTGAGCCACTTTCCCATTGTTGTAGGGTTACATTTCTTTCTTTTTTCTACAAATAAAATCATGGTCAAAGCTCAAACGAACTATCATCTCTATAACGACAATCAAAAACTCATTCTTACTTTGCTATTTATTCAACAAGTGACATCCTTTTACTGTATCTGTCCCTTCATGCTGTGAAAACTTTTATCAACCTTAGTTTTTTCCCTGGACATCAAAAAAACTTATGCATCTTTATGTTTTCCTTTTTTATACAACTTACAACTTTTTAAGCCTTAATTTATACGTTTCCTAGTATTTTAACTTATACTCATACTTTAAAGTAACTCATAACTTAATAGTAGTTGCTTGCAATTGTTGGAAACAATTGCAAGCAACTTATGTTGGTTACTTATAAGGTTACTTCTTGTTGGAAGTAAATTAGAGTTTAAAATATATAAATCTATGCCAGTATTTAATAAAAAGTAAATGTAAGCATAAAATTATAATATATTAAGTATTATAAATTTTTTTAAGTATTATAAAATTTTTTTTCTAACCCCTGCTAAATCTTATAATTTAACCGGAGCTGGGTCTGCAAAAACTCTAATTTTTAGCTGGGCCCCCCGGCAACTTACTAATTGCAACATCTTCAAAATCTGATATTGTTACTGTAGCTAGATCTACATTTGATTTTTAGGAACGATCCTTGCTATGCCACTGGGTATTACAGATGTTGCTGCAGTTTCCATTAAATTAAATTTAAAACTATTGTTGGGAAAGATTAAAATTCTTTTAAATTTTTAAATTTTTTTTTTTTTTTTTAATTTCAAAATCAAGATTATTTGAATAAGAAAATTTTAGAAGACTTCCCTTGTTCAAAAAGATTTCTTTTAAAAATAAATTCCTAAAAACAACTTGTGCATTTATTAAAAATAATTTAATTTGATATCGCAATAAATAAAATGAAAATTTAAAAAAGTGGTATTGCATTTTTAATATTCTATTTAAAATTTCTTGTTAAAATAATTCTTAGTTAGAAGCTTATTATGTGTTAACATTTAAGATAAAATAAATAAAAATATTTACATGGCTAACTTTTATGTGTTAACAATATATAAGACAAAAATAGAAACAACTGATGAATATTCTTAATATCCTTAAAGTAAATAAATATATTAAGTAACTTAACTGCTTTGATTTAGTTTATAGGTAAATTTACTGTGGTTATCCCTTCAGTAAATTACACTAAATTTAACTTTAAAATAAAAATAGGTTATTATCTTTTTTCATGCAGAGATCTATATTAAAATTCAAAAGTACTTTATGTTAAATGAAAATATCCGCACAAAAGAGCGAATGATAATACTTTTATTTAAAAGTTAAATTTAGCATGATGTACCTAACGGATGACCTCTAAACCTCAGACAAAAACATTATATATTTTTTAGAGCAGCCAAAAAATTCTAAATTAGAAAAGAAAAAAATCCAAATAAAAAATAATAAAAAAACAAAAACAAAAAGAAAACTGCAAAAAAATATACTTTTCTAATTAAATACTAAAATAAAGTTAATAAAAACCTAATTGGGAAGGTGTGATAAGCAATAATGATTCATGATTGGTATACAATATAACATATATTGTTACACAAATTCTATTTTTTAATCTTTGTCTCAAAATGTTTTATAATAATAGTATAATAGTATTTTATATTTTTGTTTGTTTGTTTAATACTATATATAACTGCTATAGTGACTTGTGACAAGTGTTGAAAAAATTCAAATTGAAAATAAAATAATTGCGGATATTGATATTTAAAAAGAAAAAACAATCATATAAATTTAGCTATTTACTAGTGTTACCTAGCAACTTTAACTGATTTCGGTTGGTACACATCTAGTGTTTTCAGCAGTTGTTGCATAGTATTGCCAGTATCAACTATATCCTATAGAATATTTAATTATATTAAACTATATTATATAAAATGTTCTAATATATTAATAAATAATAATTATATACTAATGTAAATGTATAAATAATTATATATATATATATATACATATATATATATATATATATATATATATATATATATATATATATATATATATATATATATATATATATATATATATATATATATATATATATATATACATATATATATAACATTAAAAAAAAAAAAGAAGGATAGCAAAAAACATTAATTTGTTTAAAAAAAAACAACTAAAAAACTATGCTTAATATTAATTTTTATTACACTATATTTTTCATTAAAAAAAAAGAAAAAGTTAAAGTTAAAATAATTGTTGAAATAATAACACAACTAAAGAAGTGCTTAAAATTAACTAAAATGGAAAATTTTATTAAAAAAACAAACAACTAAAATTGATTATGGTTACTAATTTTTTTCATTTTTGTTGTTAAACACTGAATTCATAATAAAATTTATATTCGCTCAATAGAAATTCAATCTTTTAAGTATTTTATTCAGTTTTAATACTTGAATGCACCAATAATTGCTTAGAATCTGTGGTGTATACTTTCAAATTGAATACTTGAATGCACCAATAATTGCTTAGAATCTGCGGTGTATACTTTCAAATTGAATACTTGAATGCACCAATAATTGCTTAGAATCTATGCTGTATACTTTCAAATTGAATACTTGAATGCACCAATAATTGCTTAGAATCTGCGGTGTATACTTTCAAATTGAATACTTGAATGCACCAATAATTGCTTAGAATCTGTGGTGTATACTTTCAAATTGAATACTTGAATGCACCAATAATTGCTTAGAATCTGTGGTGTATACTTTCAAATTGAATACTTGAATGCACCAATAATTGCTTAGAATCTGTGGTGTATACTTTTAAATTTTCAGGTAAAAAGGTTTTTATATATGTTTTATTTCCAACAAACTCCAACCATTTAGAAGTGTTAAGAATAATTTATCTTTATTATAAGACTTTCAATACAACAAGTTCTACAAATACTATTTTGTCTTAAAATAATGACAAACTATACATTACATATGCTTAGGGTTGCTATCATCCTGAAAGATATGCAACCCTAAACCAGTTTTCAAACATTATTATATGAAATTATCATCTAATTATTTTACAACCTATTTTGACTAAATTTCTGACACCTGAAAACATAAAACAACCCATACTGTAAAGGATCCCCTACCATGCTTTAAAATAAGTTGTATGCAGTTCTATTTTAATAAGCTGAAAAGTCTGCACAATATTTTTATATTCTGAAGGTCTACACAATATTTACATTTTTTAAAACTTATGAGTTCAAGTTTTTGAGGGTTTTACTCCATGCTCCATTACTGCAATCCCTGCAAATATATATCTTAAATCTTCAAATATATATCTAATACAGTACAATTGTACACACATGTCATAATTGAGGCAGTTTAATAAAAATACAGTGATTAGAAGAATAAAATGTGTGTTTAGAAAGGTCAAATTGAATCAAAATAATTTTCTTTGAAATTACATAACTGTGAAGTTTTCTTGGAAGTACCAGAATTTTTAAAATTTTTTTTAGGAACTGACAGAATGGCGAAATTTTTAGTTTCAACATTATTAAAACAATCATCAGTAACTAGGAAATTTTTTCAACATATTTTTTTATATAAATGTTTCATGCAAGGATTTTATATAAAGATATTTGTATATACAGTGGTGCGGAAAAGTTTCTTAACAGTAAAATTTAGTACTCTAATTTATAATAAGAAATATTTAAGATTTTTAATTCATTGTAAGATGTTAGAATGAGGATATATTTAGAATAGAATAAATAGGAAATAAGTTAGGAAACTGAACAATATAATTAAATATTATTCATATTGATTTTGTTCATTGTTAGTGAAGTATTTGTTACAACTGTTATATTAATGATTTATATGATACAAAATTTTTTAGCAAATTTATTTACAATAGACTTTTTATGTCAATATTTGCAGCCATACTCTTTGCAGCCAAACAAGCATTGACATATTACTATTAAGATTATCAGGATAATAACCAGATAAACTTAATAATATGATTTTTTATTTTAACTTCTATTCTATGGACTTTATGTCTTTTACTATTGCTGGTGAATAGAAGTGTAGTATAAGATACAAGTCGTTTAAAAAATTATTATAAATACAATATAAAGGATATTAAATATTTTAAATAATGTTTAGTCTTTCTTTTTTTTAAATTTTTTTGCTAATGTAAAAGTTGATATAGTTATTTAATATGTTTATGTCAACATCAAACCTAATGTTGTTAATAATTGTATGTGTTATAATTGCATTGATATTATCTACTAAAAATAGATCCTTAAGTTCTTTGAGTTTTAATTTGATGTTATTGTAATGCTTGTTAATTATATTGCTGAAAAAAGTCTTAAATGTCTGTTCATCATGTTTGTTGGATACTTTGAAATTTAAAAAGTTTTTATTTCTAGTATTGTACTTGATGTTATCAATGTTAATAAAATTGTTTAAATAAGTTAATCGGTTACTTGTTAAAAATTATTTTATTGCATAGTTGTAGTGCTCTGCATATAAATCAATGATGGAAACTGTGTAGGTTGTATGGTTTAAGTTGTTGATTTATTTGAAATATATCTTCGTTCTGAATATTAATTTTGAGAAGTAAGAATAAAATCATATAGTATGCATTGCTAAGGTTTTGAATTTCTTTTCTTGTGTAGTAAATTATAAGACTTAAACAGTAATCAATGTTAGGTAGAATAAATGCTTTAAAGAATTGTAAAGGAACTTTAAAGGCAAGACCAAATATATTATTTATTGAGTATAATTTTTTATAAGCTTTTGCTTTTATCTCTTTTAAATGTTCGGTAAAATGTAATTTGCTTTTAATAATGACACCAAGCAAAGAAAATGAATTTACTAATTCAATTTGGAACATGATTGATGTTGGCAATGTTATTTTGGTTGTATGTTTATTTGTTAAAATCATTGCTTTTGTTTTATCCGAATTGATGTCGAGTTTATTAGCATAGCACCACTTGGTAAATTTATTAAATGCTGACTTTGTAACTAGATGATTTATATTTGTATCACTTATCATTAGTGTTGTATCATCTGCAAATAATGTTGATTCAAATAGCGTTAAATATTCTGGTAGGTCATTTATGAAAACCAAAAAAAAAAGAGGTTCTAAAACTGAACCCTGTGGTATACCGATATTAACTTGTTCTTCATTAGAGTATGCATCTATAACTTTTGTAAATATTTTTCTATTATGAAAGTAGTTGCTTATTAAGTTCAAAGCATCAGTTGAAAAACTGTAATGCTTAAGTTTCATAATCAATAATTTGAAATCTACAAAGTCAAAAGTTTTTTTTAAATCAATAAATAATAATAATGTAAGGAGTTTTTTGGAGTTACTTAGTTTTACTTTAGAGATAAGAAGGTGCAATGCAGTTTCGCATGAATGATTACATCTGAAACCATCTGATCATCATTGAATAAATCATTTTGTTCAAAGTATGTAGTTATTCTTTTAGCAATTATTCGTTCAAACTTTTTTGTTAATGGAGAGATAATAGTAATACTTCGATAACTATTAATATCATGAATATCACCTTTCTGTTTACAAAGTGGCATAACGCTACCTATTTTAAATTCACTAAACATTTGTTGAATATGATCATTAACGGATCAGCGATTGAAAAATTCGTTGGAATATCTGAATAACCACAGCTACTTTTTTCTTTTATATTTTTTATTGCATCAATGATTTCATATATATTAATAGGATAAAATGAGAAATATAATTTTTTTTCTTAATATTATGAGTTATTTGAAGATTATCGAAGTGGTTGTTAATAAAGTTATATGAACCATTTTGTATGCAATTGGAATTAGATTTAAATGTACTAAAGAAATTATTAAAAAATAATGACTTATCGATGTTTGAGTATGCTTTCTTGTTATTGTAAAGTATAAAATGGGTAGAAATCTTTCATCTTCCTATTGAAAAATGTGCTTCTTACATAACTTCGTGGATTCAGGCTGGCATGGAATCTTTAATTCTCTCTTGACGATTCCAGATCAGGCCTCACTCTTCTCCATAGTTTTCCTCACATTGTGCTGCTGCAATTGCCAATCGAAACCATTATTTCCATATCTATCAGCAAAACAATTTTCCAGAAAACAGACGTCTCTTTATTACTGCTAGGAACCATCGTAAAAAGGTTTTGTCTAACGCCAAAGCCCGCTATTTTCAGATCATGAAATCTCGTATTTCATCACAAAAGTTAGGCTCTTGTGACTTCTGAAGAATCTTTAATAGTATCAATAATAAGGGCAAGTCTGTAATTCCACCTCTTTTGTATGGTTCAGACTTTGTCACCTCACCTAAAGACAAAGCTGAATTATTTGCCAAGAAATTTTTATCAATATTATCTCTTGACTCCACTAGTTGCGCTCTACTTGATATAGCTGTCAAACAGGTTGATCCATTGCTCGACATCCATATCACTCCAGCTTCTGTGATCTAAAGTGATTTCCCGCTTAGACTCTTCTACAGCTTGCGGCCCGGACAACATACCTGTTATAGTCTTGCAGAAGTGTTCTCCCGAGCTGTCGTCTATCCTTTCAAAACTATTTAACAAGTGCTTATCAGAGTCTTGTTTTCCAGCCTGCTGGAAAGCAGCATCTGTTATCCCTATTTTTGAAAATTCTGGAGAGCGATCTGATTCATCTAACTACCGTCCCATTAGTCTTCTTCCTATCATAATCAAGGTTTTTGAATCTTTAATTAACAAACACTTAATCTCTTATCTTGAATCTCATAACCTACTTTCTGATTATCAAAATGGATTTTGATCTTCTTGTTCTACGGCTGATTTGCTATCAGTAATAACCGATAGGTTTTATTGTGCATTAGAAAAAGGTGGAGAGGTTAAGGCCATTGCTCTTGACATTTCTAAAGCGTTTGATAAAGCTTGGTATGCTGGTCTTCTCCATAAGCTTTCCTCTTACGGTGTATCAGGAAACATCTTTAAGATTATTGAATCCTTTCTTTCCAATCGTAGTAAAAAAGTTGTTCTTGATGGACAGCACTCTTCTTCTTATTCTGTAACCTCAGGGGTTCTCCAAGGTTCAATCCTTGGCCCTATACTCTTTTTAATTTACATTAATGATCTTCCAGATATTCTCACATCTAAGGTGGCATTGTTCGCTGATGAAACTACCATTTATTCTTGTCACGATGAGAAGCCAACTCCCTCTAATTGCTTGCAGGGGGCATTTGAGCTTGAAAAGGATCTCACTTCTGCTCAGCATGGGGCTCACAGTGGCTGGTAAACTTTAATTCAGATAAAACTCAATTTTTTTTTGCCAATCGTTATTGCAATAATTTAAACCTTCCTATATTTATGAACGGTAATGTACTCAATGAGTCTCCTACCCTTCATCTTCTAGGATTAACTCTTACTTCTGATCTTTCTTAGAAACCTTATATCAAATCCGTTGCAAAATTAGCATCTGCTAAAGTTGATTCTCTCTATCGAGCTCGACACTTTCTTACTCTGGATTCTATTCTCTATCTCTATAAATCTCAAATCCGACCTTGTATGGAATACTGTTGCCATATCTGGGGAGGATCTCCTAATGATGCCCTTTCTCTTTTAGATAAGGTGCAAAAACGCATTGTAAACATAGTTGGACCTGCTCTTGCAGCCAACCTTCAACCTCTGTCACATCGTCTTAATGTTGTTTCTCTTTCTCTTTTCTACAAATACTATAATGGGCACTGCTCTAAAGAGCTAGCATCTCTTGTGCCATCTACTAAAATTCATTCTCGTGTAACTCTTCATTCAATTAAGTCTCATCTTTTTTCTGTTACTGTTTCTAAGTGCTCCAAAAACTCTTATTCGTCTAGTTTTTTTCCTCGAACATCAGTTCTTTGGAATTCGCTTCCTTCACCTTGCTTTCCTGATTCATATAATTTGCAATCTTTTAAGTCATCTGTCAATCGTTATCTTGCTCTACAACCTTCATCTTTTCTCTTCAAGTATCTTCCAACACTAATTAGTGGTTGCTTGCAGCCTGTTGGAAGCGAAGATGTTAAAAAAATAATAATAATAATAAAATAAAAAAAATTAGAAGTATCTTTAAAGCTTGATTTAATTTTAATAAATTTTGAGTAGAAGACATAAAATTTTGAGTTATTAAAATTTTTCTTTATTTTTCAAATAACTTGTTAATTTTTTTTTTCTTAATTAAATAAAATCTCTTCTTAATATATAACTCTTTTTTTAATATATAACATTGAAATATATAACATTGAAATATATAACATATAATATATATATATAATAATATAACATTGAAAAATTATGAGGGCAACACCCTTAACTTCAGTAAATTATTATTAACTGATAATTTTATTGCTATTTTTTTATTTATTAGCAAGGATTATCTAAAAATAATAGTCTTAATAATTTCTGAAGTCCAGTACTTTTTTCTGTATAAAAATTTTTAATTTGGAAAACATTGTTTGAGTTCCAAGTTTGAGCTTCATAGTCCAGGTAAAAACAATGAGTATTTTACTAAAAACATCTTTTTTGGGACTTTTCTATAAGGTTGAATTATTCAAATTTAAATCATTATTATTCAAAAAAGGAACAATAAATAAAAACGAACAATAAATAAAGACTGAATTATAGAAATGTTTAAAAAAATCCAGTAAAGAAAGTCATACATACCTCAACAATTAAAACATTCTAAACAAACAAAGAAAAACATATAAACATAAAAAATAAAAATATTTTAGCAAAAAAAGTGTAAACATGTGTAACCTTTCCTTTGAGTGATTCCAAAGCATCAACTCCCATAATTTTTAACTCTCCACTTTCTTCATTCTAAGATTTTAAAAATAAATGAAATTTAAAAACAACATGATGATGATGACGACAAAAAATATCATTAACAACAGGAACAAAAAAAAAAAAAAAAAAATTTAATGCAACTCACTGTATAACTTTTTAACCTTAAGAAATCTAAACCAATTTGAAACGATTTTCCTAAAATTTATATTTTATCACTTAAAAGAAATTTAATTTAAACATATAAATTAAATAAAAATAGTAAAAGATTCTTTTACTCAAATATAATTAAAGTGAAAAGACTGACATCTTTATTTAGCTTCCATAATATTAATAAACAAAATTAATTTAAAAAAAAATCAAAAAATTTTATTTAAAAAAAAATTTTAATTCATTACAGCACAATTTTTTAAATGGTTTTATATTATGAACTGGTTAATAATTTTTTTTTACTGTTTTATTATTATCTTCTGTTTCATAATTAAAAAGTAAGATCCTTTTTTGTAATGTATCAGAGGCTTTATTATTATATTCATTTATGGTATAATTATATTAAATTATGGCACAATACTAAAAAAACCAAGGGAGCATAATACGTTACTAAGACTTGTTTAGTTTCAACTTAAATTTTATTTTCTAAAAATAAAACCCAGGTCAATTCACTTTTGATAATAGCTAAATATGCGTAATTATGCTAAATATGTGTAATTTAACAAAAACTTGATTGTTACATTTAATTCTGACTTTTTGAGTTATTAATATCAAAAAAGCAAGACTAGATTTTTTAGGGAAAAAAAACTTTTGACCAACTTTGACAAAAACTGTTCTTAAATTCACATTCTTTTTGCTTCCAATAGATAGTTTTACTACTAATAATAAAATGCATGAAGCACCTGCACCTGCTTGTATCTTCTATAAAGTTCTGATGAACATCAATGACAATTACTATTTTGTCTTGGTACAAAATGACCATTTTGGCACACCCTGAAAATCTGGGATCCTAATATTAAAAAAATCCCATCAAACCCTTTTATCCAACAATTGTGTATATTAATGTATATATGTTCTAATAACATTAAAAGTTGAAAGTTTGAAATCTTTTTATTTAATTTGGATATTTTGTGCAGAAAGTTAAATTTGACCATAATTTAATGATAGATAGCACCACATTAATGATAGATAGCACCACATTTTACAAATTTAATTATCAAAGTGATAATTGATCAAACTAAACTTTGTATAGGTACTTATAAATCAGCCAAGTGATCAAAATTTTCCAACCCTATTCAATTTCAACTCCATTGTTGTAAAAAATATCACAAGGCAAACAGTACAGAGTGATTGTTTGACCTGCAAAATTGCCAAAATCAATGGAAAAGAGAGATGTCCTTAACAATTCAATGAAGGCCAAACTACGGCACAAACTACTGCAGCTGGAAAAAGGTGCACAACTTGCTTATTTGTGCTTGCTCATAGACATCTTCATCACTGAAGATGTCCATGAGCAATCAAATCAAATTCTTTCCTACACAAAAAAAATGCCATGAAAACCTCAGAGAACTTGCATTGGCAGACCCAATAAGAGCATAGCAGATTGCATCCACTGTGATTTCAGGCAAAGATACATCACCAAAAGGAACAGTTTGAATCAGCCAACCACAAGGAATGCCATTGGCTTTAAGAATAGGTAAATGTAAAATAACATTTTCATCAATTATTATATTAATATAATTGGCATTACACGTAAATAATATAATTCTAATTTATAATGTAATTTTTAGGGTCATGCTGCACAGCAATTCTTTCCTGGTCCTTTTGAGCAATCAAAACATGGTTTCAATACAAGAGAATACAGGGTTTTTTAAATAGCGGAATGAGGAAAGTTGGATCTGTTCTCAACCAGATTAGCCCAGTAAGGCTAGTTGAAACCAATTTTCACCAAAAACAGCTGCATTGAGCGACTAACTCACCATAAGCTGCTTAAATTTTGCTGCTAGCTCAGAAGATCACCAAGTTGTTCATTGCCATGATCTGCATCATGGCGCTTGTGGTGGCTCCTTCATGAAATTGAGTTAAAGCTTAATTGACTCAAAGCTCAATGAGCCTTTGGTCACAAGAGGGCCACAAAAGCACAGAGGTTAAGCAACTGATTGTGGCGATTGCAGAAAATACACCAAAAAACTTTGAAAATGTCAAGGCAATTTTTCAACTCATTGATGTGGACAAAGCTTGTCCTCTCAGCTCCTTGTTTATCTCGTGTGACATGAAGCTTGGAGACATAATTTCATAGTAGCAAACACTCATGTTGTTGGTGTGAAATTGAGTCTTCAAAACTCACTGCATGTGGAAAACTTTGCACCTTTGGAAGCATTAGACACCAATACCAGAGTTTTGTTTAATCTGGAGGTGATTTAAAAAATCCCAAAACTTTCTTCAATGCTGTTCATCCTCCTTTGCTTCCTTTTCTTAACCAAACAGTTATTTTAGAAGTACTTCCTTATATTTAATTCTTGGTAAAGTCAATCCTATTATAAAAAACCTGGTGCAAAAATAGATGAAATTGGCTTCAAGCCATTCACATCCCACTTCAACATTATCAAGGTGGCCACTACAATGGCCACCGAGGTAAGGTTGAATGAATTTTTAATAAAGTTAGAAATGAAACATATATCATGTGAGACATGTCATGCATGACTGTTGTAAAACATGATGTTTTACAATAGTTAATGCAACTAATAATGAAGAATGATGGACTTCAGACCACATAGGTGATTTTCATGCTGAAATGTACATTACATGTGTCTATGATAATAAATAGAGGGTATAAATTCCCTACATTTTTTTAATCGTGGGAAGCGCAAAATTTAAAAAAAATTTCCTCAATTCTCAGAAATAAATCCTTTCTTAAACAAATATATAAACACAAGACTAACTTTTAATAAACAAATGACATTTATTTTTTTAAATGTTATTTTATTTTAAATTTGTATATGTATGCATTAGGGCGGAATGATTTAAAAAAATTTTGATTCCTCTCTGGTAAACTCTCAGTAGTAAGTGACCAGGGCACTGGCCCTGGCTATAAATAAGAATTTTTGCAAATCCGGCCCCAGCAAAATTGTAAGATTTAGCAGGGGTTGATAGCCGGGGCTAGAAATAAATTTATAATTCTTTAAATTATAATTTTATACTTACATTTACTATTTATCAAATTCTGGCATATATTTATGCCAATATTTAATAAATAGGGACAGATACAGTAAAAGGATGCACCTTGTTAAATAAGAAGCCAAGCAAGAACGAGTTTTGGTTTATTGTAATAGAGATGATAGCTCGTTTGAGCATTGACCATAATTAGAGAAACAGCACAAAAGAGGAAGGCTAAAGCCTGCTGCTGCTACTGATGATTATGATGATGATGATGATAATAATAATTATGTTGATCATAATGTTTATAAATGCATATGTATACAAAATCAAACATAAGTTTTAAAAAACAAAATGTACTTTAGGATGTATATATGTTTATGCAGCCCCGGTCACAAATCCGACCCTGCCCCAGCTATACTTTATTAACCCCGGCCCCAGTCAAATATCAACCCCGGTCTAGACGGGTCCTAATATTGTTGAAACTTTTTAAAAAAAAAAACAGAATAATATGCTGATTTGGAAAATAATATTTGTTTCTATTTGAAGGAATAAAAAAAAAACCGCCAAATTAACGAGCAAACTAATTCTATTGGTTCAAAAAATACGCTGACTAAGCGAAATAAATAATTTTACAGCATTCTGTTGAAATGTTTTGAAAATTATATTATTCACGATTTGTTGCGTTTTCAGATTTCTAGCATAAATCGTTTTAAAAATATATATTAATTGTTTACAAAAATAAATACATAAATAAAATAAAAAACATAATGTTAATATTTAATAATGTTTTAAATATATAATAATTGTTAACATTTTAAAAGTTTATTATAAATTTTAGATTTTATTAGTACATTCTTATTTTTTATTTAAAAATTATGTATTCTTTATGTAAATGTAATTTTGTTGATCTGTTTTTTATCGTAATGTATCTTTTAAAGCAATTTTTATGATTTAAACAAAGACTTACAAAAATAATTTTTAATAACAAAAAAGTTATGATCGTTAAAGTTAATAAAACTAATCATGTAACAAACATACAAGAAGTTTCTGGTTACTAAACACAAACAACGCATAAAGTAACTCGCGGATGAACAAGCACCGTGCCTGAGGTCATGACAGAACACAAATATATATTGCAAATAATTAGATATAGAGTAAAGTTTCTAGATATTGGTTTACTAACTCTAATTATTTTCGCTTCAGTTGCCACCATTATAAACTCGTTACACTTTTTTCTGCTTTAATTACTTATTAAAAAGCCCACTCACTAAACATCATCAGCAATATTGTGAAGCAGTTTCGCTTCTTCGTCATATTTTTAACCTTTTTAGTTGATTTCTATCTTGTTAATTTAATTTCTATAGTAATTCAATGATTTAATTATTTCATTTGTTTATCTTACTAAGAAGAATTGCTTTAAATATATGAAACTTTTTAAACTACGCGAAACATAAAATAGGTATTAAAAAAGTTAACTTTTTTATTTATAAAATAATTTAGCTTAAATAAAACTAAAACTTGCAAACTTTGTTTAATAAAGAATATTTGTTTCCTTTTTAAACAATTGTAAGATGTTACTTTACATAAAAAACATCGCTTAATTTTATAAAATTTTTTTCGTAATTGTCTCTCATTGGTCCAATTATTCTTAAGCACTTTTTTTTTTGCTTGTTAAAATGTTCTTAAAACGACTAAAAAATCTGGCCAGCTTTTTGCAACTAAATATTATTTACATCGTCAGCAATCGAGAGCAATCGCTCCCACTTCCCGACCAAACCTGTATTTATATTTTTAAGTAGACACTATCAGAACTGAAGCTACTCAGTGTAGTTAAAGCGATTTACAAATTATTTGAATTCTTTTATTTGGAATTAGCATGATTTTATCAGCATATTACGTCCAAATAAGAGCATTAAATATTATAATTTTTTTGCTTAAAGTTTATTTAATATTTAAAGAAACTTTCTTTTTTATACATTTTTCAAAACATTTTTCTACCCCTAAAATTTATAATAATATATATACTTTATAATTTATAATAATATTAT